CGCTTAAATACTTCTCCTCCTCCTCCCCCTCCCAACTGCCCGGGGAGGGAGGGAGGCTAGGCCGCCCCTTTCTCCTACCTCATGGCAAGCTTTCCTGGCCATGGCCTCTGCTAGAGCAGAACCCAAAGAAATGAAACTTATTGCCACTGACATCTATCCAGGTGTCTTCATGTTTGGACAATTTTTAAAATTCCTGTGTAACTGCCCTCGTTGTAGCCTTGCAAAATGCTGAAGGGGTAAAAAAAACACACCCCCATATAAAAAGGTGCTTTCTGCAGAAGAGCAATTCATACTCTAGGAGCAGACTGACCTAGAACACTTGGGATTGGGTCTGGTAGAGCAGCCATGCTCAGCCTTTGCTACCAGTCACTCTTGTCAAAGAATCTGGGTCAGAGCATGATAGGAACAGCCAATATTATGATGCCCCTGTTTAAATCTATGGGAAGGCCTCTTTGGGAATACTCTTATGCGCGGCTGGTTTTGTTGTTGTTCAGTCACACAGTCGAGTCCGACTCTTCGCGACCCCATGGACCAGCTCCCGCCAGGCCTTCCTGTCTTCCGCCATCCTCTGAAGTTGGCTCAACTTCATGTTCGTTGCATCTATGACACTGTCTAACTATCTCATCCTTTGCCGTCCCCGTCTTCTTTGACCTTCAATCTTTCCCAGCATCAGGGTCTTCTTCTCCAGTGAGGGCTCCCTTCTCATTGGGTGGCCAAAGTATTTGAGCTTCAGTTTCATTATCTGGCCTTCCAGGGAACAGTCAGGGTTTATTTCTTTTAGGATTGACTGATTTGATCTTCTTGCAGTCCAAGGGACTCTCAAGAGTCTCCTCCAGCACCATAGTTCAAAAGAATCTATTCTTCGGCGCTCGGCCTTCCTTATAGTCTGACACTGTCTAACCATCTCATCCTTTGCCGTCCCCGTCTTCTTTGACCTTCAATCTTTCCCAGCATCAGGGTCTTCTCCAGTGAGTGCTCCCTTCTCATTTGGTGGCCAAAGTATTTGAGCTTCAGTTTCATTATCTGGCCTTCCAGGGAACAGTCAGGGTTGATTTCTTTGAGGATTGACTGATTTGTTCTTCTTGCAGTCCAAGGGACTCTCAAGAGTCTTCTCCAGCACCATAGTTCAAAAGAATCTATTCTTCGGCGCTCGGCCTTCCTTATAGTCCAGCTCTCGCAGCCATACATGACTACTGGGAATACCATTGCTTTGACCATGCGGACTTTTGTTGGCAGGGTGATGTCTCTACTTTTTATCATGCTGTTTAGGTTCGCCATCGCTTTCCTCCCAAGGAGCAGGCGTCTTTTAATTTCATGGCTGCAGTCACAGTCTGCGGTGATCTGGGATCCCAGGAACGTGAAGTCTGTCACTACTTCCACAGCTTCCCCTTCTATTTGCCAAGGAGTGATGGGGCCGGATGCCATGATCTTAGTTTTTTTGATGTTGAGCTTCAAGCCCACTTTTGCGCTCTCCTCTTTTACTCTGAGCAAGAGGCTCTTTAGATCCTTTTCACTTTCAGCCATTAGAGTGGTATCATCTGCATATCTGAGGTTGTTGATCTTTTCCCCAGCAATCTTAATTCCCGCTTGTGATTCATCCAGGCCAGCATTTCGCATGATGTACTCTGCATATATATTAAATAAGCAAGGTGACAGTATACATCCTTGTCGTACTCCTTTTCCTATGCTGAACCAATCAGTTGTTCCGTATCCGGTTCTAACTGTCGCTTCTTGGCCCTTATACAGGTTTCTCAAGAGACATGTGAGGTGGTCTGGTACTCCCATCTCTTTAAGGACCTGCCATAGTTTGTTGTGATCCACACAGTCAAAGGCTTTAGCATAGTCAATGAAGCAGAAGTAGATATTTTTCTGGTACTCTCTTGCTTTCTCCATAATCCAGCGAATGTTGGCAATATGATCTCTCGTTCCTCTACCTCTTCGAAACCCAGCTTGTACTTCTGGTAGTTCTCTATCCACGTACTGTTGAAGCCTAGCTTGTAGGATCTTGAGCATGACCTTGCTAGCGTGTGATATGAGTGCAATTGTGCGATAGTTTGAACATTCCTTGGCATTGCCCTTCTTTGGGATTGGAATGTATACTGATCTTTTCCAATCCTGTGGCCACTGTTGCGTTTTCCAAATTTGCTGGCAAATGGAGTGCAGAACTTTAACAGCATCCTCTTCTAAGACTTTGAATAGCTCAGCTGGGATACCATCACCTCCACTAGCTTTGTTGTTAGTAATGCTTTCTAAGGCCCATTTAACTTCACATTCCAGGATGTCTGGCTCGAGGTCAGTGATTATACCGTCGTGGTTGTCAAGGACATCGAGGTCTTTCTTGTATAGTTCTTCTGTGTATTCTTGCCATCTTTTCCTAATCTCTTCTGCTTCTGTTAGGTCCCTACCGTTTTTGTCCTTTATCATGGCCAGCTTTGCATGGAACGCTCCCTTGATTTCTCCAATTTTCTTGAAGAGATCTCTAGTCCTTCCCATTCTATTGTTTTCTTCTATTACTTTGCACTGTTCATTCAGGAAGGCCTCCTTATCTCTCCTTGCTGTTCTCTGGAAATCTGCGTTCAGTTGGGTAAATCTTTCCTTTTCGCCTTTGCCTTTCGCTTTCCTTCTTTCCTCTGCTATTTGTAAAGCCTCATCAGAAAGCCATTTTGCTTTCTTGCATTTCTTTTTCTTTGGTATGGTGGTGATTGCTGCCTCCTGTACGATGTCACGAACCTCTGTCCATAGTTCTTCAGGCACTCTATCTATCAAATCCAGACCCTTGAATCTATTCTTCACCTCTACTGTATATTCATCAGGGATGCGATCTAGGTCAAACCTGAATGGCCTCGTGGTTTTCCCAATTTTCTTCAGTTTAAGTCTGAATTTTGCAATGAGTAGCTCATGATCTGAACCACAGTCAGCTCCAGGTCTTGTTTTTACTGACTGGATAGAGCTTCTCCATCTTTGACTGCAAATTATATAGTCAATCTGATTTCGGTGTTGCCCATCTGGTGATGTCCATGTGTAGAGTCGTCTCTTAGGTTGTTGGAAAAGGGTGTTCGCTATGACCAGTGTGTTCTCTTGACAAAACTCTGTTAACCTTTGCCCTGCTTCATTTTGCTTTCCAAGGCCAAACTTGTCTGTTATTCCAGTTACCTTTTGACTTCCTACTTTAGCATTCCAGTCCCCTATGATGATGAGGACATCATTTTTTGGTGTTAGTTCTAGGAGGTGTTGTAGGTCTTCATAGAACCGGTCCACTTCAGCCTCTTCTGCATCAGTGGTTGGGGCATAGACTTGGATTACTGTGATGTTGAATGGTTTGCCTTGGAATCGGACAGAAATCATTCTGTCATTTTTGAGATTGTATCCCAGTACTGCCTTTTGCACTCTCTTGTTGACTATAAAGGCCACACCATTTTTTCTACGAGATTCCTGGCCACAGTAGTAGATATAATGGTCTTCTGAGTTAAATTCGCCCATTCCTGTCCACTTTAGTTCACTGATTCCTAAGATATCGATGTTCAGTCTTGCCATCTCATTTTTGACCACGTCAAGCTTACCTTGATTCATAGATCTTACATTCCAGGTTCCTATGCAATATTGTTCTTTGCAGCATCGGACTTTCCTTTCACCATCAGACACATCCACACTGTCCGCTCTGGGTGCTGCTGGTTACTGTAGCTTAAAAAGGGACATTGTAGAACTAGAAAAAGTACAGAAAAGGGCAACCAAGACGATTAAGAGGCTGGAGAATATTTCCTGTGAGGAAAGGCTGAAGAGTCTGGGCCTGGGAGAAGACAGCGAAGGGGACAGAGGACAGGTCTATAAAATAATGCAAGGGAAGTGGAGAGAGAGAACTTTTCTCCCTCTCCCAAAATAATTCAACTCAAGCATGGGCATCCAGTGAAGTTGATGGCAGTAGATTCAGGAGACAAAAGGAAATACTTATTTACTCTGTGATTAAAATGTGGGTGTCGCTGCCAGTGGATGTCGTGATGGCTGCAGGCAGAGAGAACCCTAGGATTCCACCGATCTGTGCCTATGTTATTTCAGAAATCGGGTTCTGTTTTACCACCGCTGTTGAAGATCATTGAAATCTCTTGATTTATACCTGGGAGAGACGTACGGGTGTTTTTCTTTCCACAGTGGCGTCTTCTGCCACAATTACTTTCTGTTTGGAGGTCTATGGACACTATTCATGTATGAAATTACAGAGGAGCCTACTGTTGGTTTTTGAACAAGTGTTTATGCATTCTTTTTTTTTAAGACCCCGGAGGGGATTGTTTTATTTATAATACTACACAAACTACAAAGAAAAAAAGGGGGGGGGGGACTACACTAGAGAGAAAGGAAAGTAACCCACACTATACTAAAAACCCAAGAGTAGGAGATCATTACCCTGTTAAACTACAGTTAGTAATAAAAAAGCTGTTAACAATATACTTTGTGAGATCCTGTCTTTCTAAGCTTATTTGTTAATTTATTACTTGTTATGAGAAGATCCCCAGAGCATCTCCTCCAGCTCGCTTCATAAAGGCAATTTTCAGAGTCCTTCTGCTTTTACATCTATGCTAATTCTCTCTAAAATCTTGATGGCTTCTTAGACGTTCACTCGAAATTCTGCAGCCCAGTCTTCCTCCGCCTCCAAAAGAATAAAACCACCGATCTTCAGCCTCTTTCTCTTTGGTCTTATCCTCGGGGCCCAGTGGCATCTCAAAGGCTTCT